TACCCCATCATTTTGGAGGCTGCATTTGGTTTCGCTGGAGGTGGAGAGGCCATTTCTCCAGAACTCAGCTTTATGCAGAAACCCAGAAACTATAGGGGCCAGCTGTGAGAGCTGGGATTCTTGCTCCATGTGGCTAGCTGTGTACTCCCTTCTAACCAGAGTGGCAAATTCTTGGGGTCAAAAAGGGCCCCAGGGGGAAACAGCAGTTAGCGTAATGGCTCTGTCGCTGGACTCCCATGTAGTCGACCGCGGTTCGTGTCCCAGACCCAGTGGCTTAAAACTCACGCTGGGTGCGTGTGCGTGCGTGCCCAAGATCCCGAGAGGAGAATGGAAGAGAAGGGATTGCGGCGTGACCATCCCCCCTGGGGGGTGATTTCTCGCTTTCTGTCTCTATGTCTCTCTCTGTCTGTCTGGCGAGCGCACGCGCCCTACAGTGAAAATCTCTCAAAAAAAAAAAGTATTTATCCAGTGCCATTTATTTAATTTGCTATAGGGTATGTGCACTCACCAGAGAGTCAGAGAGACAGAGAGAAAGCAAGCCAACCAGTGCCAGGTCTGTGACTTGAACTGCTGTGGGTCGTGCAGGAGTCTAGTGCCCTAACTACTATGCCACTGCTAGCCCCGTAGTGCTCACGTTTCTATAGCTCAGGCTTTAAAGTGTGATACCTTGTGTTGGCGTCCTGGTTCTCTCACTGGCTCTGTGTCCTTGGCTAGGTTGCTTTCCTTATTCACAAATTGGGAGTAATAATGCCATTGTGGGATTAAGGGGAGGGATAATGTGATGAGGTATGGAAACACCAATAACCTTCATGGAGTGTTATTGCTACTGTCATTGTATTGCACTTTAACTTACCAAAGAGGTTCTAAGTAACTAGATTTCTTGTCCTCCTCAGAATAATTCTATGAAATAGGACAGATGGATTTCTCACCATGCTTATAGACAAGGAGACAGACACAGAGGAAAGGGGCTTGTCCAAGTTCCTTGGCTAATTAGCAGCAGAGTGGGAATGAGAGCAGAAGTCGCATTTCCCCTCTCCTAGTTCCCATGCTCTTCCCATTGACCAGGTGAGTCACTCCCGTGGAGAGCAATCCCTGAGACTTGATGTGGAAGTATAGTGGGGGAGAGGCGGGCTGGGCATGATGGATGCACAGTGGATTCGGCTGCAGTGCGAATGGTTCCCATGGTGTGGGGCGGGGGCTTTCATCTGACAAGTATTGTTTAAAACATGGAGCTCCACCTCCATGTCCATAATCGAAGAGGGCATGTTAGGAACACTCCATCATCCAGGCTGCAGACTATGTCATCCCGAAGCTTACACTGTTAGGCCTTCCAGGGCTTTTGCAAGTCCTGCAGGCAGCAGCAGGACTGAAAAAAGAATGAGGCGGGGGTGGTGGGAGCTAAGCTTAAGGTAGTTGCTTTGCGGGTTCAGAGGAGAAATCATGGTCCCTCGTGCCTTTAGTGATTGGGCATTTAGAGGTCTGGCTTTTATTATAATGGGCTCTGGAGTATTCAAGAGAAATCCATTAGAAACAGCTGACTCATTTCACTGGGTCACTGAGTTGAAAGAATTTTAGCTTCATCTTTGTTCCAGGTGACAGTTGTTCTGAAGTCCTCATGCTAGTTGCCTAATATATATTGATATGGTTGAATTAATTACAAGAGCAATAAGAGTTTTAAAGGTCCACTCTTTTCCCCAATAGAAGACAAAAAGCAAGAGCCAGACTTTTAAGAGATAACAAATCGATTCCAGCTGCCTATCTACCTGGGTGTATCCTTGTTTATTCTAACTTATCTTCCTTCTCTTGACAAGAAAGCATGGATGCCTGGTAGAGTTGAGCTTTTTGAATTGCTTGTTTTCAAATGCCAGGAAAGAAATGTTGCATTAGGATGATCTTTTCTTTTTTAATTTTTTTTTTGAGAGATTTTTGCTATAGGCTGCATGTGCTCACCAGAGAGGCAGAGACAGAGAAAAAACGAGAAACCACCCCTCGGGGGGATGGTCATGCCGCAATCCCTTCTCCTGCATTCTCTTGGGATCTTGGGCATACATGCACACACGCCCAGCATGAGTTTAAGCCACCAGGCTTGAACCACAGTCGACTATATGGGAGTCTAGCGACATAGCTATTATGCCAACTGCTCATCCCAGGAGGAAAGTCTTAATAGTCCAGGAAGGCATAGCTCTCATTTTCCTTAATTTAGCTGACATCTTTCAGGTGTAACCTGTTGCTAAGCAGCGGACCGTGTAATCTAAAGTAGTGCAGAGTCCTTCAAATGAACAAACTGCCGCAGGGTGGCAAACCAGATTTCAAGTAGCTTTAGTGTCAGCTGGAAAAAAGATGGATTTCTATGTGCCACTAACAAGGACACATCACCAGTTCTGGGCTCGAAGATCACAGAGGTAAGATACCTAGTTGCACACTTGGAAAAGAGAATTGGTGAAACACAGTGGTGGTGGATGGTGCTTCAGGCCTAACTATCCCATCCAGCCCCTGCCCAAGCGTCTCGGATGTTTGCCCTAACGCATCCTTTGTATGAGCTGAAGGGGAGGATGGTTAGTCTCTGCTCTTACCTCTGTCTGGCAAATTCCTTCCGACTCTCTGGATTACAAGTGGTTCCTCTCTGTGCTCAGGGTATTGGACTATTATAGGAGCTTTTATTTGGAGCCCCCAGATAGATGGTGGGGGACCTGAGGATCTCTTAACTTCTGACCACAGTTATTTACTTGTGTGTCCTGGAAGCACCTTTGACTCCAGTGTGTCAGGAATGATCAAGACTTTCTGATGCCTTCCAAAGGTATAAATGTTCTTTCATAGCAACTACTCAGCATATTTGAATATGCTCCTGGTGGTTCAGAAATGATTTCAGGTGGTCTGTGGATACATACTTGTTATATTAGGTTTTATGATTACTTTATTGGAACTGAAAATTTTATTCTTTCTTTGGTTAATTCTTGCCTTTAAGGAAAGGTGACTTAAAAGGAGAATCGCACAGGGGCTTGAGTTTGAGAAACAGTGATGGTCAGCAATCCTCCCCTGCCCCAGTGTATAGAGAGAAGCAGAGGAAAGTCTTACAGGAAATTGGTGGTGAACTTAGGCTAACAACCCTGTGGGCTTTCCACCATCCCACATTTTTCTATGACTTCAAGAAGTTTCTGCCTCTCTTAGGTCTCCTGCAAGAACACTGTCCTCATCAAGCCAGAAATCTTGCCCAGAGAGTTTCTACCCGGGCCCCTGGACTTGAGATGTCTGAGAGAGAAACTTCTGTTGGAGGGAAAATGAGAAACACTGAGAGTCACATCTTCATCCCCAGGGCCCCCCCTCCAATTTTGAGATGTGTTTTCTCACATTTTAATGTTTCTAAAATTGGGCTGCATTTTACAAAATTGTTGTTACTTACATCAATAGCTATTTCCTGCCAAAAAGCTGTTATTAGATGGATAGTAGCTTAGAACTGAGACATGGTTCTTTCACTATATTTTTCTCCTCCAAAGCAAATTACACTTGAAAGTCGGGACTTCTAATAATTGACACGCTGAAAGAAACTTTCCTTTCAATGAAAAACTTTTATCTCATGGCATTTTTCATTCATTGAATGCAAAAAGTTAGGAAGGAGGAGTCAAGAAAGATATGGAGACATTACAACAGACTTGGTTTTCTAGACACCACCCACCTAGTTCCTGGTCTTCCTCTCAAAATTTATAAACCCTTTGTATTCTTTTAGTGCCCTTCTCAGAGCTGTGCCATATAGAATATTCTAGAACTTGCTTTCGAGAGGTTATGTCTGAATCCTCAACTGGGGGAAAGATGAACCAGTGTCCACAGTTTCAAGCAGACATCACTCTGATGTCACAGCTTCTTGATTTCCCCCATATTCCACTTTTTTTTGGTATGAAGAGAGCCGCCTTTGGTCTCTTTTTCCAGATGGTGAGCTTTGGGTGGATTAGAAGTACGTGATTAGACTTGACAAACCAGAGTCTTTATTGACCATTTTTGTTCTAGGTAGAATGGAGGTTAATAGATTGTTACTTTTGGTTACCCAAACCAAGGTGGGGGTGGGGGTAGGGTGCTGCTGCTCAGAATTATACCCATAAAGAACAGACCAGCCTTTCTCTGGGAGCCAGGGGTGGTGCCACTGCTTCAACTTACCGCTTCACTTAGAACGCCCGAGAATAAGCATCAGAACTTGGCCTTTAGAAGTCAGTGCAATAAATAAGCTGGAAAAGGTTGAAGAGAAAAAGCTAAGGAACTGTGAAGTATGGAGCCATTGAAAAGGACAAAAAGCAAGAGTAACAAAGGGGCAGATGGAATCCGGCCCCGCCTGGCCTTGCCAAGCGAACTCTGAGAAGCTCTGTGTGGAAAGTGTTCTCTTTCTGTCCCGTGAAGCAATCGTGTGTTCCTAGCCAAATTCTCGGGCTGTTTCTATGGCGCTTGCAAGAAGAGAGTAGAGCAGCGTTGATATGACCCTTCCCTTCTCACTCTGCTTCTTCTTCTCAGCCCCATAAAATAAATCTCTGGTTCCAACGAAAAGGTTTAAAAGAAAATGGAAAACAAAACAAAAACCTGGAGGGTGGTAACAGAACATACTGTCTAAATTCTGAGTTTTCAGAAAAGAAGGAGAATTTCTCTAAGAGTAAACGGTGTTTATTTTTTTTTTTTGATTTTTCAATCAAATGGAATTGCTTAATTAAAAAAAAAAACTTAACTCTTTTCTCCTTAAATACTACAGACAACCTCATTTTATCGCAGTAGACACCTAGAAACAGAACACTGGACCCACCAGAGCATCAGAAAGTCAACTATGGAAAAATTACGGTTAGCTGGCAGCTCTCAATTCTAAACAGAAGTGTCCCAAACTTACTGAGTTTGACAGAAATTTCTTAAAACTGGGGAGTTGGGAAAGTTGAACTCCTTTTAATTCTATTCCAATTGTTTCCTGCATAGGGAAAGTAAAGTCAATGCATCAAATGAAGAACCAAAGAAACATTTAAAAACTTGTTTGACTAGTATTCAGTATGTGAGATTATTAAGTAATAGCTTGTCCTCCTAGTTAACCTTGTCCTGGAATATATATAGGTTATTTGTAGCCGCCACTGCTATAATATTTTCTGAAGGATGCCAAGCTGTATGCAAGATCTTTTTGCTAAAGTCCAGACTGTCGACACTGATCTCATCTTTTCTCCGCTTGCCCCCCACGCACACTTTTCGGGGTTTGAGGATAGCCCGGGGTTTGCTGTTTTCCCTTGAGGCCTCAAGGGTCACGTCGCGCTTGGTGTTTCGGTCAAACATCCTGAAGAAATTGTTGTAGGAGCCTGTCATGATGACACTGCAAAGTAAATAGGAAAAGGGGAGTCGCTGAGTGTTTTGGAGAAAGGTGGTAGCATATCCCAATTCTGCCTTTCTGTAGCACATGACATTACACTGTAGCTAGCTTACTGTATCGGAGGTTTTATTAGGAAAATGGAACAGGCTCTGTAATCGTGACCACTGACTTCCTTCTGGGCTTTTAAGAGTAAGCCAAATTTTGGGGAATGAAAGGTAATCCTTTTCCTTGTTATTTACTTTTAATAGATTCCTTTTGGTTCTTTGGCTTAGTAAATGAGTCCAGTGGTTTTAATGATCCCCGCCCTACTTACCTCCTATCAGGACTGGGAGACCAGAATGAGGTTGTGAAAGTAGGGATACTCTGAAAACAATGCCTGGCTGTCCATATTTAAAGTATGGTTTCCATAGGGGGATTCCTGGGTGGTCTGACTTTCCAGGCTTCATCCCATCAGCCCCAGGGAGAAATAGTGATGGGACAGCAGGCTGTCCTCTCCCCTGCTGAGAACTGGCTCTAAACCCAGCCTTTTCAAGAACACCTGTCTACAGAACTGACAGGGTCAGGACTTCACTTGATAGGAGAGTAAACATTCAAATTTTAACAGGATCTGAGATGGTGAAATAGATTTTGTACAATGGATAGAAGGTTTCTACATTTGTACAGGGGTTATCTCTTCTCAGGGATAGCTACAGTCCATCAGGAAAGGCCTAAAGCCTTCCAAAAGTTTCTGAGTGAAGGTCTGACCTAAGGGGTAAAATGAAAGAGCAAGTGTCCTTAGTTTTTCACACAATTTGGGATGTGTGAAGAGGTGGAGGAAAAACTGATGAGACTGGGCTGTAGCAGGGGCGATACATTTTGGGGTACTTTGTCCCCTGTGCAGGTAAATGAATCAAAGGTTAGATTTTGTTACTCTGGCTCATGACTGAGGCTGTGAACCGTGTGTTTCTCTGTGCTTGAGTGATCTGTCTTACCCAGGTGGGTAGGGTGCAGAGGCCTTTACCTCTGTGATCTTATTGCAATGTCCATTATCCCATGTACGATTCAGGGCAGAAGTAAGTAATTGACACAGTGACACGTTGCTAGGAAGTGGCAAGTCAGGCCTCAACCCTGCATGTGCCAGAATCTAGGGCATAAGAATTTAACCACTTAGCCTCACTGTCCTGTCCACTGATGTTCACTTCTCTGAGTCTGATCTGGCTTATTTTTAAACAAAGAGAAAATCACCCCTTTTTTTTTTAAAAAAAAAATCTCAACTTTATCTGAACCAAAAATAAAGGTTTTCAGTGTGATACTGTAGAAGAATCTTGATCTTAAGATTCAAACTTAAAACTTCTTCCTTTTGTCTCTGCTACTTACTAGCTTATGAAGTTGGGCAGGTTACTTTATCTTGCTAAGCCTTAGTTTCCTCAACTGTAAAATAGTGATGATGAAAAGAACCTTGTCAGATGAATGTATGTCAAGGTTCCTGGTAAGATAGAGGGGAAACTGGAGCAATAAGTCATACCTATTAATAATAAACAATGAAAAATCATATATATATATATGATATCTATATCTATTTCCTTCTATATAAAACACAAAATGATATGGCTGGCCTCGTCCCCCCTTGGGGTATATGTTCTTACATGTCAGTTGCTTTGTTCCCTCTTTTACATCATCCGAGCAAGTGTGACTGGGTTTTTTTTTCCAGGCTGGCTAAGGAGAGAGTTTGCTATGGTTTGAATGTCCCCTCCAAATCATGTTGAAATTTAATTGCCATTGTGATGGTATTAGGCAGTTGGACCTTTAAGAGAGGATTAAATCATGAGGACGATCCCCTCATGAATGGATTAATGCCGCTACGGTGGGAGTGGATTAGCTATGGTGGGAATGTGGCACCCTTCTTCTCTGTGTCATACACCCGTTTGTCCTTTCATCTTTTGCCTGTTATTATGTAGCAAGAAAGCTCTCACCAGATGAAGCAGCTTGATTTTGGATCTTAGACTTCCTGGCTTCCAGAAATGAGAGTGAGATTAACCTCTATTCTGTATGAATTATACCCATTCTGTGTTTTTTGTTTTGTTTCATTTTAGCATCAGAAAACAGACCAAGACAGGGTTCATTTTGGTCAGTGGCAGACAGCCAAAATTCGAGCAGAGAGAGAGACTGCTCATTCTCACTGAAAGCCTGGCTCTGAGTGTCTTGCCATGATAGTATCCAGAAGCATGGAATTCTACTATTGGTAGCATATTCATTGAGGAACTTTGTCAGCCTCTGGTAGCCTGCACTTTGTTCTCATGGAAGTCAGAGAAGCATCTGTATTGGTCAAACGAAAAATGAACTATGGGCAGGTAATGTGAAGTATTGTTGAAATGAAAGTCCTTAACAAAATCACTTGGAGAGAATGTGATGAACGAGGTGAACTAGAATTTGATAAACGAACCATGGGGTCTTTGGCCAGGTCTATACTAAGAGTTCCCAGGAATAATTTGTGAGCTAGAAAGCCCACTTTGCATTCATCTGGACTATGCAGGCTGGTTTGCAGACCGCTATTCATTTCGATGTCTTGTGAGTAAATCAGAGAACTTTCCAGTTGACATTAAATTGTTACCTGTGCAAGCCATGAAAGAAGATTCAAAAGTCTCACAGTATCCCTTCCTTCTTCCCAGGCTTGATCTCAGGGGTCAGCAGTGTGCATCCTGGCCAACTTTGGGTCCTCCCTTTAGCTATATCACTACTCCCCCCAATCCCTCTAGGAGAAATGGCCTCAAGGTGAGGGCCACCTTTGGAAGGTTCCCAGAGCTTTACTTACCTGTCTGACCCATTCCACACACACTCAAATTTGTCAAAAATGCAGTCATTTTCATAGAGGGAGCACAACTTGCTGCGGAGGTAGTCATGAACCTGGGGAGGAAAGAAGGCTAGTTGTTTAAAAAATCATTTTGTTTTCTTCTGTAGGTAGCTTCTCTTCTGACATGAGCTGTTTAATTCTTTCAGTGTCCATGTGCCTTCAATCAGATGACCCTGGATCAGAATCCAGGCTTGGCCCTTTCCAGCTGTGGAACACTAGGATGGGTCGGTGAGTTTTGTATGTAGCCAGTTTGGAGTAAACAAGCTTGTTTGTGTAGACAGTGGCACAGAACAGGGGCTAATCAATGGTAGATTCCCATTTTCTAAGCTGATTGGCTCACAGGTATGAGAGAACATTTTTCATCCAGTCTTTAGTTGGATAAACATTCACTGAATGCCTGTTGCGTGCTTGGGATCAAGCAGTGAATGAAATGCTCTTGTGGCGCACTCATCGCTACATAGCCTAGTAAATAATGTGAAATGTTCCACGTGGTGATACAATTGTAAAATGGAAAAAAAGACTGGGAGATATTACTGTATACAGGGGGAGTAGTCAAGACTTCACCTGATGTGGTAGCACTGGAGCAGAAGCCTGCAGGAAATGAATTGAGCCACAACAATAGGTAAGGAAAAGGCTTTCCACACCCAGGGGACAGCAAATGCAAAGACTCAGAATGAAGAGGTCCTGGAGGGGGTATGATAAAAGAGGGATGACAGATGACCAGTTTCCATGGCCCTGTATTCTGAGAAGGCACATCACAGAGAAGGTCATTGAGCCTGCTGTGTCATGCCCTGAGACTGTCAGGGCATGAGGACAAAGGCAGAGAGGACCAGCTACTACCTGGGTTGTGATGATGGTTTGGGCCAGGATGAGCGTGACAGTGAGAACTGATTAGATTTTTCAGCTGTTTGGAGGGAGAGCAGATAGGAGTTGGAGCAATGCTGAGGTTTGGGGAGAAAAGTAGCAGATGGTTCCCAGGTCTTTCTCCTGAGCAAGTGGAAGGATGGAGATTCCACAGTCACTTTTGGGCATGATAATTTGGAGACACCTCTGCAAATGGAACAGTGGATAATATGCTAGCTATTGCGGGCTAGGAGCTCCATCCAACCATCATTCTCTTTGCTTTAGTGAAGCACAGGATTATGACAGCCTTGGTCCATGATCTCTCAGCAAAGAGCATGGTAGAATGCTGGCATTCAGATTCCAAAGCACACACTCTGAATTACTCTGCCTTATCAACGCACACCTAGACAGGGCTGTGATAATGAGCTCTAGTGAGTGAACTTCAGTGAGGCCAAGAGACGGGATTGGGGAAAGGCAAATTACCAAGAGCATTGTTTAACTTTGGATTAAGAGTGATAGGCCAGTCTCCTTTTCTTTTCTTGACCCTAAGAGTGCTGTGGGATGCAGAGCTCAGAGGCTGTTGTGTGCTTAGTATTAGGTAAAGGAAAGAGGTCAAACTCATCCTATGTTCCATTAGATGTTTTGGGTATTTGGAGAGCTTTGGGATATTTGGACAGTTAAGTATTTCTAACTCTGCAAATTAATGTCCCCCACCTTTACTCTCTCATTCCCAAAGAGGTCCAGGTAACTGTTTCGGTGTTATGGTGACAAGAAAATCCCTCTGGCAGGATAGATGTTTGGCATTGTTAGATGCACCCGGGAGGTGCCAAGTGTGTCCTCACCCTAGAGAGATATTCCTGCTGAATGACCTCCCTTAGGGAGCAGAGTGTGGGGATGCTGCTTAAGATGGGGTCTCACTTTATTTCTCCTCCATAAACTTTTCCTTGATCTTTCATCATGCTCCTTTGGCATTCTGTCTTTTGTATGCACACCACAGGTTAGTAATGAGTTAAGGCAGATGTGCCTTGAAAGTGTGGACTGATTAGCAGTCCTTGCTGAGAACTTTTTTTTTTCTTTTTAAGTGGTTTTTGCTATAGGGCGCATGCGCTCGCCAGACAGACAGAGACAGACAGAGACACAGAAAGCGAGAAATCATCCCCCCTCATGGGCGATGGCCACGCCACAATCCCTTCTCCTCCATTCTCCTCTCAGGATCTTGTGCACACACGCACATGCGCCCGGCGTGAGTTTTAAGCCACCGGGTCCGGGACACAAACCACGGTCGACTACATGGGAGTCCAGCAACAAAGCCATTATGCTAACTGCTGGTCCCTGTAGATAACTCTTGACAGGTGAATGTTGGGAAGGATAAAAGGGAAAATGTAGTCTGAACTATTTCTTCTGCACAGCATCCAAGGTCTGGGGCACTCCTGCCTGCCTCCAATAGAGGGCATTTAAAGAAAAGGAACGAGAACAACACTACAAAGGCCTGTTGCTTTGTTTGTTGTTGTTGTTAAATCGCCAGAGGGCATATCTGCTTGCCAGAGAGAGAAATCACCCCTTTGTTTCTCCGTCCTGTCAAGATCTTGAGTATACACACACACACACACACACACACACACACACACAGCTCTCTGTGTTTTTTAAGCTGCCAGGGCTTGAACTGTGGTCAGTCATGAGGGATATGGCTCCCTATGCACATGGCTTAACTGCCAGGCTTAGGATGTTGCATTTATGATTTCTAGCTAAAAAACAAACTTCGGCAAACCAGGTGGACCTTTCTCTACCAGAGGAGACAATAAGGTAAGATACATGCAAAAGAAGTATCTAGAGAGTGGAGTCCGAGACAACTTCAGAGTCATTCTATTTGATGCTTCTTTCTTTCTTGGTTCTTTTCTATGTTCTCAATAGCTTATGACACTAGACTAAGTTTCCCAACATGGTGGTCCTCAAATTATTTACTTGTAGAAGCCTGTCATGTAGTTAATGGGCTGTTTGTGAAACTTAGCAAGACTAATTTCAAGAGTTGACACACTTTTTCTATAAAAGACCAGACAGTCAATACTTCAGGGTTTGTAAGTTCTGTGGGCTCTGTTACAACTACTCAACTCTGCCAATGTAGCATGAAAGCAGCCATAGCTAATATGTAAGTGACTGAGCTTGGCTGTGTTTTAGTAAAATACCTTTTTCTTCTGTGAGTAGGATAGAAAGGGTCTTGACACTACAATCCACCCTCACGTTCAGCCAGCTTTGGATCTCGGGCACATGCATTCTTGGTGTACTCAGGGAGGTCTCTGGACATACTCAGAACCTTTCTGTGGAATCAGCTTCACAGCGAATGGTATCCTACTGCTGCATCACTGTCTGACCCTAGTCAAGATTTATTTACTGGTGGGAGACTGGATTTGGATTGCTGGTTTGTAGTTGGCCAACCCTTGTTTTATATAAATAGCTAAAGTCTACAATTTATTCATGGGAGCATTACCTGTCCTGCCCAGGGGAGGCATTAGTAACTGATCATTGTGAGGTACACTGGGAAAGAAATAGATCTTTTTCAACAATGTTCTAGACGCTCACCGAATCAGTGTATTTACTTTCTTTTATTACCATCTTTAATGTTGTATTGGGTTGTTGGGAAAAGTCGTGATGCATTTTTGTATAGAAGAAAATGTCAAGACTTTTCTGACAACCTAATACTTATTTTGAAATATATCTGTAAAGTTTAAGAAAATATTTTTGATATTCCAATATATGGTTATAACAATTTCTTAGTGCTCTACAAAGAAGACGAAATCTATGTCTACCACCAGCTGGACATGGATTAAGAGCCATGAGCTTAATATGCTGATTTTTTCATGTTACAGCCAGCTAGCTAGGTTCTAATACTGGCTTTGTTCCAAAAGCCTTTCCCTAAAAGAAAAGTCTACTTGTTCTTGACACCTTTTGTTCTAGATCTGCTTGCTCGCTTGCTTGCTTGCTTGCTTTCTTTCTTTCTTTCTTTCTTTCTTTCTTTTCTTTTCCTTTCTTTCTTTCTTTCTTTCTTTCTTTCTTTCTTTCTTTCTTTCTTTCTTTCTTTCTTTCCTTTCCTTTCCTTCTTTCTTTCTTTCTTTCTTTCTTTCTTTCTTTTTTTCTTTCCTTTCCTTTCCTTTCCTTTCCTTTCCTTTCCTTTCCTTTCCTTTCCTTCTTTCTTTTTTTGGAGAGGTTTTTGCTATAGTGCGTGTGTGCTTGCCAGAGAGACAAAGAGACAGAAAGCGAGAAATCACCCCTCAGGTGGGATGGCCACGCCACAATCCCTTCTCCTCCATTCTCTTGGGATCTTGGGCACGCAAGCACATGCGCCCGGCATGAGTATAAGTCACTGAGTCTGGGACTTGAACCACAGTCGACTACATAGGAGTCCAATGACACAGCCATTACGCTAACTGCTGGTCCCAGACCTGCTCTTTTTAAGTCAAGGCTCTCCAGAAGGTAACACCACCCCAAACTCAGGTGCTAGTTCCCATCACCTTTTCTTTTGTACTGAGAGTTGTGACACTAGTTTTTTTTTTTTTTTTTTAAGTTGGTAGACACAACTGTTGACTTGGGACCTGGAGTCTAGGCAGGCATCAATCAATAAGGTTCATATAAATAAGGTCTGCTCTTTTGCTGAGAGGTGACAAAACTCTATGTGACCCTAACTATTAGCTCCCAAGTTTTACTCTGTATCCTCAACCTCTTCTCTAAACTTCTCCTTCTTCTCTTCCTCTGACTGAAACTTGGCTCCCCTGTGAAGACACTGCTTCTCCTGGGGATGCTCAAGGAGAGACTGTACCAAGACGGGGTGTGTGGGCTCCAGACATTGTTCTTGTCCAGAGCCCCCTCACCTCCTTTGAAGTCATGCCATCAAATGTTGTCTTCCTTTGTCATTCCCTGGAGTAACTTTAGCACCTCCATTTTGCATCAGTTTCCCATTCTCATTTTTAGTGGTCCAAATTCTTCATTTTCACCATATTTAATGAGTTTTTCCCTTTGCTTCCTGGGTCATGTTATGACCCTTGGCATTACTGCACCTCCTGAATAAGTCTCACTCTGTTGCTACTTTCAGTCTTTTTAGGTCTCTCTTCTAATCTCTTGATTCTATCCATTTTTCCTCTGTCCTTTATTTCCTTTCTTACCTAGCTTAGATTTGGCCATCTATTGTTACAACCAGTGCCTTAGAGTTAATGTTAGC